GGGTGGGGTGGACGCCAGCAGTGTGACGTCAGCACTGGGGTGGGGTGGACACCAGCAGTGTGATGTCAGCACTGGGGTGGGGTGGACACCAGCAGTGTGATGTCAGCACTGGGGTGGGGTGGGGTGGATGCCAGCAGTGTGATGTCAGCACTGGGGTGGGGTGGGGTGGATGCCAGCAGTGTGATGTCAGCACTGGGGTGGGGTGGACACCAGCAGTGTGACGTCAGCACTGGGGTGGGGTGGGGTGGACGCCAGCAGTGTGATGTCAGCACTGGGGTGGGGTGGACACCAGCAGTGTGATGTCAGCACTGGGGTGGGGTGGGGTGGATGCCAGCAGTGTGATGTCAGCACTGGGGTGGGTGGACACCAGCAGTGTGACGTCAGCACTGGGGTGGGGTGGGGTGGATGCCAACAGTGTGATGTCAGCACTGGGGTGGGGTGGACACTAACAGTGATTGGAAGGAAGTGAATTGCAATTGCAGTTAAACCTGACCAGACAGGCAGAATGGTGACACTGGATGAGGGGTAGAAGGGCAAGCAAAAGGAATTTGTAGACACTTTTTTTGCTTCTGAACCTCAGACTGGAGAGGAATAGAACAAGTGAACTCTGAATTCTCTCTCATGTGTTTGTTCCAGCAGGATAGTCAGCCTGCCTGCCGGTCTGTCTGTCTGTCCCTGCCTGCCTGCCTGCCTGCCGGTCTGTCTGTCTGTCCCTGCCTGCCTGCCTGCTGGTCTGTCTGTCTCTGTCTGCCTGCCTGCTGGTCTGTCTGTCAGTCTGTCACTGTCTGCCTGCCTGCTGGTCTGTCTGTCAGTCTGTCACTGTCTGCCTGCCTGCTGGTCTGTCTGTCTGTCTGTCACTGTCTGCCTGCCTGCCGGTCTGTCTGTCACTGTCTGCCTGCTGGTCTGTCTGTCTGTCTGTCTGTCCCTGTCTGCCTGCCTGCCGGTCTGTCTGTCTCTGTCTGCCTGCCTGCTGGTCTGTCTGTCTGTCTGTCACTGTCTGCCTGCCTGCTTGTCTGTCTGTCTGTCTGTCACTGTCTGCCTGCTGGTCTGTCTGTCTGTCTGTCTGTCCCTGTCTGCCTGCCTGCCGGTCTGTCTGTCTCTGTCTGCCTGCCTGCTGGTCTGTCTATCTGTCCCTGCCTGCCTGCCGGTCTGTCTGTCTCTGTCTGCCTGCCTGCTGGTCTGTCTGTCTGTCTCTGCCTGCCTGCCGGTCTGTCTGTCAGTCTGTCACTGTCTGCCTGCCTGCTGATCTGTCTGTCTCTGCCTGCCTGCCGGTCTGTCTGTCAGTCTGTCTCTGTCTGCCTGCCTGTCTGCTTGCCTGCTGGTCTGTCTGTCAGTCTGTCACTGTGCCTGCCTGCTGGTCTGTCTGTCTGTCTGTCTGTCTGTCTGTCACTGTCTGCCTGCCTGCCGGTCTGTCTGTGTGTCCCTGCCTTCCTGCCTGCTGGTCTGTCTGTCTCTGTCTGCCTGCCTGCTGGTCTGTCCCTGCCTTCCTGCCTGCTGGTCTGTCTGTCTCTGTCTGCCTGCCTGCTGGTCTGTCTGTCAGTCTGTCACTGTCTGCCTGCCTGCCGGTCTGTCTGTCTCTGTCTGCCTGCCTGCTGGTCTGTCTGTCAGTCTGTCACTGCCTGCCTGCCTGCTGGTCTGTCTGTCTGTCTGTCTGTCTGTCGAGACAGGGTTTTCCTGTGTAGCCCTGGACGTCCCAGAACTGGCTCTGCAGACCAGACTGGTCTTAAGCTCAGAGATCCTCCTGCCTCTGCCTCCCAAGTGCTGGGATTAAAGGCGTGAGCCACCGTGTCCGGGCCATCTTTACTTTTAAAGTAGACCTTTTTGTCTTAATCCTAGAAATAGTTTTGAATAACTGCGAATAATTTACCTAATGTAAAGTAGCACATTTCCACAAACGAACTTAGAGATGATTGAAAAATTAAAAGCTGACCTATCATCTCAAGAGAAAGATTTAAGAGGGGGTGACAAAAGCCACCCTACTGCCATCGCCGCCTCTGCCTCCTTTACTGTGAACTTACCGTAAGTCGACTAACCGTGCACGTCAGTGTGCAGTTCTCGGCCAGCATGTCTCCCGCGGCTCTGTTTGTCCGAGCTGACATTTTAGTGACTACCGAGGTTCTATTACTCCTCTTTTCCAGGTCGCTGCTCTACTAACTGGTGAATGTCTCAGATCTACACGGAGGATGGGCAGGCCCCCAACTTAAATTTTCGCTCACTCACTGCTGTCACTGGTTCCTCCTGGCCTATCCTCTGAATTTGTATGGCCGTCAAAATTTCATCTTATTGGCCACGTGGAAGCCAGGACAGTCTTGGCAGGGCACCCCTGGGTACTGCGACACCCTCTGTAACCCGAGCACTCGGGGTGGGGATTTTTCGAACTCTGCTCAAACAGGGCTTTTTTTTTTTTTTCCTCAGTGTCCCTTCGGTACAACGGTGAGTGCAGACAGCCCAAACCTTTTAGTCCATAGCTTTGCCAGCCACAGAGTAAAATGCAGCGGCTGGTAGGTGAAGACTATGCAATCCCCACGCCACCCAAGGGAGGATGAAACGCCTCCATGGTCGCCTTTCCTCTATGCTTGTCCTCTAAGACTGCAGCAGCCTCATTTTCAGAAACGAGGCATTGACAGAGTTCGTAAATGCTTCCTTGTCGACCACGAGCCGTGCGGCTTGGCCCCCAGAGTTATCTCAGATAGCACAAGTAAATCTGGCGGCCTCCAGTCGTCTCAAACAGTCATTAGCTCCTACTCCGTTGTCTGCCCCACAGAATTTCCCCTTGGCCTCCGCAGCACAGCCTCGCTCCGCTCATTACTAGACCCCGTTAAGTGCTGCCAAACCTCCAGCAGTTTAGTGCGTGTGTTCTCTTAATCGTGTCTCTTTGCTCTGGAAGTCTGTGTCTGGTTTCTGAGCCACCAGTGTTCCTGCAACCCTGTCCCCGCCCCTTTCTATCACTGGCTGTATGTAGCATGTGAAAGTCTACTGCCCACATGCTTAAAGAACGTTCTAGATTGCCCACCGTCCAGGGAGCCTCTGCAGTCTTAATCACGTCCATCTTCCTTGTCCCTCATTGGCCCTGGGAGTCTGGGAGTCCTGCACGGGACCTTCTGGAAAGTGGGAATTCCTGAAAGTCAATGTTAACCCTGCCACGGGACAAAGAACCCTTCTTGGAATTTTCATTCTCTTAGCACGAGTAAAGGACGTCTTGTCCCTGATGCCCAGGGGTGGAGAGGCGTGCCCCACCCCAATGGGTTGTTCATGGTGTCTGAGAGAAAGACTTCAGGGATGTATTCCTGTACATTGGCGCAGGTTGGGTTTCCTCTTAGTGCTGGGTTCTGCTCTCGTGGCCGTGAGGAAGACCCCACTGTCACACCAGCCAGACCCTCCCCACACAGCCTGACGTCCCCTTTATGTGCAAAGAGGCCTTAGCTCCTCTCCCTAAGCAGGTACTGCCCACCTCGGAGATGCAGGACGCAGGTGCGTGTTAGTTTTTAAGCAGTTTTCCTCTCCTAGGGCTCCTTTAGCCTGCAGGAGAGGGTGGGGAGCTACTCAGGGCACAGGCTTGTTTTACAGCAGGGGTTCTCAGTCTTCCTAGTGCCGTGACCTTTACATACAGTTCCTCATGGTGTGGTGACCCAACCATAAGATTATTTTTGTTGCTGTTCCATAACCATAATTTTGCTGTTATGAATCATAATGAAAATGTCTGTTTTCCAGCGGTCTCAGGTGACCCCTGTGAAAAGGTCATTCATGGGTTGAGACCCGCCGCTTTAAAGGACTCTGTTCTCTGCAAGAGTGTTGAGGAACACTTCAGAATGACCTGTAATGTCTTGTTAATACAAATATGCCCTCTGCCCTGCTCACCCCTTCTGCTCCCACAGATGATAGGTAGGTAGATACATAGATCAATAGATAGATATAGATGATAGATAGGTACATACACACATAGATGCATAGATAGACAGATAGATAGACAGACAGACAGATGAGTTAGATGATAGATACATATACACACATGGATACATTCATACATATATATACAAACATAATGCATAGATGATAGATAGATAGATAGATGGATGGATGGATATCGGTACATACATACACACATAGATGTATAACATACACACACATAGATGCATACATACATACACACATGCATAGATAGATAAGATAGATAGATGATTGATAGACAGACAGGCAGACAGACAGGCAGAAGGCTTGACTTTGGCCATTAATACCTCCTGCTCTGAACTGTGTCTGCTCAGTTCAGGGAGGGAGGAGAAGTATCCTATTATGGAAATAAAATACAGAGAACATAACTTGGAGGAAACGGAGTGAAGGGCGTGGCCGCCTATGTGGGAGCATTTCCCTTTTTTCTTTCTTTTGAGCCTAATATGGACCAGCCAGGTAGAGGTGTGCATAAGTACACTTTGCCAAAAAGGACTTGGCATTCCTTTCAGTGAAACTATTTTAAAAGCGGAACTGGAGCCCAAAAGGACCCAGGGTTCTTGGGGAATTCTCAAAAGGTGTCGATTTATTTACTACAGTTAAAGCGTAATTAGTTCTCAGGGGATGGGGTATCTCTTAAAACGGCTTTACTGCCAGCATATTGGTTTTCTGATTAATCAGAAACGTGTGCGAGTTCGAGCAGAAACTCACTGTAAGTAGAAACAAATGTCAGGAATTGCTGTTGTCCCTTGAAGGCAGATATGATGGAAGGGAAACAACTGTGTCCTGATGCAGTCAGACCGGGCACCAGCCAGGCGGTCACCCTGCCCCTCTCCACTCTCTTGCCCTTTGGCGCACTTTTCCCCATCCTTGTACTGGTTCCCACCAGAGGCTGCGAGGGAAAGCGGCGCCCCTCCCTCTTCACGGCTCCGCAGATCGCCGGGCCCCACCCACCATGCGTATGCCTGCACACTCTTCCCCCTCTGTCAGAGCCGCCCTTGACCCTCCTCTATGTGTCCGTTCTGACTGACCAGTTTTTTTCCCACTGCTTGCAGGTTGATGTTTGAGATACCACAGGAAATGGGCTTAATCGCTGTTGCTGTTCGGCAGACCCAGGGCAAAGGTCAGTCTGGGGGGGGGGGATCTGTGAGTTTCCCGGCTGGAGAGGGTGTGTGTGATGAACCCTGGGACAGTCTTGAGTTAGAGTCTTTCCACTTTAATAGCCCCCGCCCAATCCCCCCACCCCCGAAATGGGGCAGGAGGGAGGAGATGGAGAAGGACAGACAGCCACCGTTTGGTAATTGTGCCATGTTTGCGTCTGATGGCCGTCACGCCTGGTAACCCAGGGTCCCCGTACTTCCTGCAGATTGTGGTGGAAACAGCTCTAAGACGTGTAATCTCCTTGGGGTCCTCGCTGAGGGTCTGCTGGAGTGTGTGGAAGCACCCTGCCTTTCTTCTGTTGAGTTAAGCCCACCGTGTTCCTGAGCACAGATAGACTCAAGGGGGCCATGGGTGTCAGGTGTGCGGCCCTGAGACCCTGCTGTGTGGGAGTGTCCATGTGGAGAAGCTGTTTCCTCTCAATGGGTCCTGTCTTCCAGGAAGGGGCCCGAACGCCTGGCTGAGCCCCGTGGGCTGTGCCCTCTTCACTCTGCTGGTCTCCATTCCCCTGAGGTCGCAGCTGGGACAGAGGATCCCATTTGTGCAGCATTTGATGTCCCTGGCCGTCGTGGAGGCGGTGCGGTCCATCCCAGAGTATGAGGTACGAGCTGCTTCCTCCTCCTTCTCCTTCCTGTGGCGCCTCCAGGCTGGCCTTTTCCACTTGCAGCACGCATTTGCGTATTTGTCTGTGCCCTTCACAAAGCTCCTGTCACCGAAGTGCAGGCTCGTGCGCCCGGGGTACCACTTAGAGCGCATAGTTCCGGCTGGGGCCGTAGCCCAGGGGCAGAGCGCCTGGCTGGCATGCTTGGCCCTACAGCGTTGCTGTGGGTGATTCCATTTCCCAGGATCCCTCGGGGCTGTCTGTCAGGTTTCTCAGGGTCCCAGTAAGAACAAGCTTTCCTTTTCTTATTTTTTTCCTTCTCTTTTAAATTTAAATTAGAAACAATCTTACTTTACATACCAATCCCAGTTCCCTTCTCCCTCCTGTCCTCCTGTGATCCTCACCAGCCCCCTCCATACCAGCCCCCCATCCATTCTCCAGGGAGAGTGAGGCCTCCCATGGGGGATCATCAAATCTGTCACATCTCGGGCAGGGCCTAGGCACTCCCCCATGTGTCTGGAATGGGCTCCCAAAGCCCATTTGTGCACTAGGAATGAATACTGTTCCACTGCCAGAGGCCCCATAGACTGCCCAGGCCTCCTAACTGACACCCATGTTCAGGGGGTCTGATTCAGTCTTGTATGCTGGTTCCTCAGCTGTCATTCTGGGGTCCATGGGCTCCCACTTGCTCAGGTCAGCTGTCTCTGTGAGTTCCCTGGCATGGTCTTGACCCTTTGCTCAGCCTTTCTTTTCTTTTAATAAAAGCGGTGTATCAGGGCTACATGGACGTGCTCTGCATTTTCGAGTTTTAAGAGGCTTTTTTTTTTTTAGCCTAAATTACTTCTTCCTGCCTCCCCTTACTCTCATCTCCATCAGCAGAGCTGCTGCTCTCTGCCTGTGGTTGATGGAGGTCAAGGCCAGGCCCTGGTGGCTCCGCCTTTCCTCACTGCAGGGACAGGTGTGCTGGTGCCCTTACCATGGCCTGAGTCCGACCCCACTCCTGGTACCAGCTCCTTTATTAGTCACTTTCCAACCTTGAAAGAACACCGAGACCAAGGCAACTTACAGAAGACAGTGTTTATCCTGGCTTTCGGTCTCAGCAGGACGAGGGAGTCCCGAGAGAGTCCAACATGGCAGGGGAGCAGGGCAGCCAAAACAGGAAGCTGAGAGCGCCCATCCTCGGCCACAGGCAGGAAGTAGGGAGAGAGAGAAAACGGGAAGTAGGCAAGGCTCTTTGCGTCAGAGTCCCTAAGTGGCTTACATCCTCCAGCAAGTGTGTACACCCTAACGCCTCCACAGACGGCGCCACCAACTGGGAGCAGGTCTTTGGAACACACCAGTCTGTGGTGGACATTCCCATGGAAGCTATTGCAGTGTCTGCTGTTAAAGAAGCAGGGAAAGAGAATGGCGACTTCAGTGACAGGGGCTGCTGTGCTTCTGCGACTGTGCCTGCCACGCCTCCCACGCCTGCCCCCGCTTCCGCGTGTACCTGAGACAGTCCTGTGACGGCTGCGTGTGCCCTGAGGAGGAGGAGGCGCCGCTTACCTCCCTTCCTTCCTCCATCAGTTCTTTTTTTTCTCCTCAATATATGTTTTTATTTAAATTAGAAACATGAATGCTTCACATGTCCATCCCAGCTCCCTCTCCCACCCCTCCCTTGTCCCTCCACCAGACCCCCCTCAGCCCCCCACCCAATCTCCACATCATTCCCCAGGGAGGGTGAGGCCCTCCTTGGGGGGATCTCCAGAGACTGTCATTTCATCCAGGGCAGGACCTAGGCTCTTCCCCAAGAGTCCAGGCTGAGAGATCATCCCTCCATGTGGAATGAGCTCCCAAAGTTCATTTGTATGCCATGGGGAACACTAATCTACTACCCAAAGCCCCAGAGATTTCTGAGGCCTCCTCACTGACACTACATTCATGGAGTCTGGATCAGTCCCCTGTTGGCCTCTCAGCCATCAGTCTGGGGTTCAAGAGCTCCCCCTTGTTCAGGTCAGCTGTCTTTGTGGGTTTCACCAGCAGGGTCTTAACCCCTTTGTTCATCACTCCTCCATTTCTGTCACTGGGTTCCTGCGGGTCAGTTCAGTGTTTAGCTGTGGGTATCTGTCTCTGCTTCCATCAGTCACTGGATGAAGGTTCTAGGATGGCATATAATGTAGTCGTCAACCTTATCATCAGGAAGTTGCTATTAATGTAGTCTCTCCACTTTCGCTTAGTTTGCCAGTTCGTGTTATCCTTGTAGATCTCTGGAAATCTCACTGGTGTCAGCTCTCTCCTCAAGCCTATAATGACTCCATCTATTATGGTATCTCTCATCCTGCTCTCCTCTATTCTTACCTTGACTTAACCTTCCTGCTCCCCCATGCCTTCTTCTCCTCTCCTCTTCTCCCCCTCTCATTTTCCTGGCTCCTTCTCCCCTCCCCCGATGTTCCCAATCTGCTCAGGAGATCTTGGCTCATTCCACTCCCCTTGGGTATCATGCATCTCTCTTGGGAACCTCCCTGTTTCCCAGACTCACAGGCACTGGGATTGTAGGCTGACACTCCCCTGATCCATGTCTAAAATCCATATATAAGTGAATACATACTATGATTGTCTTTTTGTGACTGGGTTACCTCACTCAGGATGGTTTCTTCTAGTGCCATCCATTTGCCTGCAAATTTCAAGATTCCATGTTTTTTTTTCTCCATTGTGTAAATGTACCACATTTTCTCTATCTACTCTTCAGTTGAGGGGCATCCAGGTTGCTTCCAGGTTCTGGCTATTGCATATAATGCTGCTATGAACATAGTGGAACAGACATCCTTGTTGTATGAATGTGCATCTTTTGGGTATATGCCTAAGAGTGGAATTGCTGGATCTTGTGGTAGACTGATTCCCCTTTTCCTGAGGAATCTCCATACTGATTTCCAAAGTGGCTGTACAAGTCGGCACTCCCACCAGCAGTGGAGGAGTGTTCCCCTTTCTCCACATTCTCTCCAGCATAAGATGTCATTAGTGTTTTTGATTTTAGCCATTCTGACAGGAGTAAGATGATATCTCAGGGTTGTTTTGACTTGCATTTCCTGGATGGCTAGGGATGTTGAGCACTTTCTTAAGCGTCTCTGAGTCATTTTAGCCTCCTCTATTGAGAATTCTCTATTTAGTTCAGTCCCCCACTTTTTAATTGAATCCTTTGGTGTTTTGGAGACTTGCTTCTTGAGTTCTTTGTAAATTTTGGAGTTCAGCCCTCTGTCAGATGTGGGGTTAGTGAATATCTTTTCTCAATCTGTGGGGTGTCTTTTTGTCTTGTTGACTATGTCCTTTGCCTTACAGAAGCTTCTCAGTTTCAGGAGGTCCCATTTATTAATTGTCGATCTCAGTGTTTGTGCTGCTGGTGTTATGTTCAGGAAGCTGTCTCTTGTACCAATTCATTCAAGGGTACCTCCCACTTTCTCTTCTAACAGGTTCAGTGTGGCTGGATTTATGTTGAGGTCTTTGATCCATTTAGATTTAAGTTTTGTGCATGGTAATAGACATGGATCTATCTGCAGTCTTCTACATGCTAATATCTAGTTATGCCAGCACCATTTGTTGAAGATGCTATCTTTTTTCCATTGTATAATTTTAGCTTCTTTGTCGAAAATCAGGTGTTCATAGGTTTGTGGATTAATCTCAGGGTTTTCAATTCGATTCCATTGGTCTACCTGTCTATTTTTATGCCAATACCAAGCTGTTTTCAGGACTATAGCTCTATAATAGAGCTTGAAGTCAGAGATGGTGATGCCTCCAGACGTTGCTTTATTGAGCAGGGTTGTCTTGGCTATCCTGGGTTTTTTGTTTTTCCATATAAAGTTGAGAATTGTTCTTTCAAGGTTTGAAGAATTGTGCTGGGATTTTAATGGGGATTTCATTGAGTCTTTAGATTGCTTTTGGCAGGATTGCCATTTTTACTACATTGATCTCACCTATCCAAGAGCATGGGAGATCTTTCCATTTTCTGGTTTCTTCTTTAATTTATTTCTTTAAAGACTCAAAGTTCTTGCGATACAGGTCTTTCACTTGTTTGGTTAGCATTACCCCAAGGTATTTTATGTTGTTTGTGGCAATTGTAAAGGGTGATGTTTTGCTGATTTCTTTCTCAGCTCTTTTATCGTGTGTCTCTAGTAGGGCTACTGATTTTCTTGAGTTGATCTTGTATCCTGCCACTTTGCTGAAGGTGTTTATCACCTGTAAGAGTTCCCTGGTAGAGATTTTTGGGTCACTTATGTGCAAATAGTGAAAGTTTTACCTCTTCCTTTCCAATGTGTATCCTCTTGGTCTCCTTTTGTTGTCTTACTGCTGTAGCTAAAACTTCAAGTACAATATTGAAGAGGTATGGGGAGAGGGGACAGCCTTGCCTTGTTCCTGATTTTAGAGGAATTGCCGTGAGTTTCTCTCCATGCAGTTTGATGTTGGCTTAGTTTGCTATATATAGCTTTTATGGTGTTTAGGTATGTTCCTGTTATCCCAGATCTCTCCAAGACCTTTATCATGAAGGGGTTGTTGATTTTTGTGAAAGGCCTTTTCAGCATCTAGTGAGATGATCATGTGATTTTTGTTTTTCAGCTTGTTTATATGGTGGATTACGTTGATGGGTTTTCATATGTTGAGCCATCCCTGCATCCTAAGGAAGAAACCTACTTGGTCATGGTGGATGAGTTTTCTGATGTGTTCTTGAATCTGATTTGCCAGTATTTTATTGAATATTTTTGCATCAATGTTCATGAGGGATATTGGTCTGAAGTTCTCTTTCTTAGTTGTGTCTTTGTGTGGCTTGGGTATTAATGTTATTGAAGCCTCGTAAAAAGAGACCCTTCTGCTTCTATTGCATGGAATACTTTGAGGAGGAGGATTGGTATAACCTGTTCTTTGAATTTCTGGTAAAATTTTGCACTGAAGCCATCTGGCCCTGGGCTTTTTTTGGTTGGGAGACTTTTTTTTTTTTTTTTTTTTTTTTTGGTTTTTCGAGACAGGGTTTC